TAGTGCTTTTCATGTATCAGCTCTTCACACTCCCACCAAGAAAGCCCCCATGGGTGGAGACTAGTTATTGTACCGATTTTACAGAGAGAAAAAGGGCAGCTCCCCAAGTTTTTCCAGGACTACTGAGTCCATGTGAAGTGTCACACTAAATGTTCTTTTGTTAAGTAAAATTAAAAACAAGTGGGGCCTCCCTGGTGGTGCAAGGGGTTAAGACACAACCTGTGAAGCTGTCCACAGCCTCTGCAGCATTAGTTTGATCCCTGGCCAGGGAGCTACATGGCACAGCAGACCTCTCCTGACTTGCCCCCTGCTCCCCTCAGCAGTGTATTTCAGTCAGTCTGCCTGTTCTGCTCCCCACTCTGTCTCTGGTAAATCCTCTCACCCCCCCCACACCTCTGGCCTGTACCCCAGCTCTTGTATACATTAATAAATAAATAAATCTTAGGAAAAAAGCAAGCGTGGCATCTTATTCCATCTCTGCCTCACCGTTGCAAGGTAGCTCTACGTGACCCCCTTTTATTGTTGATGAGAAACTTGAGGCTTTGAGAGGTGCAGCCACTTTCCCTCTATCTCAGGGTTAAGGGTAGGGGCTGGATTCCAAGCTCTTTCAACCCAGCTTCCTCCTCTGTGTTCCCCTGGCATAACTAAATCTGCTCAGGGGCAGCCTGCTTATTACTTAGGGGTCTGGTAAAGCAGGGCCTGTCGGTTCTCAGCATGGCCTGCAGATTTCTGAGTGTGGGCCAGACCTGCCATGCTCTGTGCATGTGAATGAGCCGGTGAGGGGCCTACATTGGGTCTGTCTGCCTTGGGAGCCTGGTCACCAAGTGTCCTCATTGGGCGCAGTGTGCCCCCTGCCCTGTCTACACTGACCCTTTTGGAAGCAGGTGCGGACTTCTCCGCCAGCACCCCTCCCAGTGGCCTTGGTCCCCTTGGTGATTGGAGGCAAACCTTGGACACTGAGTTCAGCGTCAAACAGCTCCTCAGCTGGCTGCATGTCCACACGGCACAAAGGGGAGCTGTGAACTGTGGGTGAGGAGCAAGCAGGTGCCCTCACACCTGTGCAGTGCACCTGGCTCGCATTCTCCCTCACCCCATCCCTGGACCATATATGGCTGGGAGGTGGTGTGGGTGGGCACGGCCTCTGGACCAGACCCCCGGGCTCCAATCCTGGCTCTTCCACTTCCTAGATCTGGATGTCGTCACTTGACTTCCCTGAACCTTAGTGCACCCGTCTGAAAAGTGGGGAGAATAATAGAACCTCTCCGTCAGAGGGTCATCACTGCACTGAGTGAGTTGTGTATGCATTGGGCTTGAACAGAGCCTGGGACATGGTGAGCATGCACGCTTCTAGCACTGGCCTGCCTCAAGCTCTGTGTCCTTTCCTTCATTGATTTTCTCAGTTCTTGGGAGGTAGATGCCAGCCTTAGCACCCTGGGGTGGGTGGGGTAACCGAGACACAGGGAGATGAAGTGATCTGTCCCAGGTCAAAGAGCTGCTGGCAATAATGAGCAAAGCAAGGGAGAGCTGGGGGACACTCGGTGCTCCTGGGGTGCCCATCTGCTCCTCAGTCCCCGGTCTCCCGAAACCCAGCAAATTACTATTCAATGAGCTGAAATGGCAGAACTTAGTCAATCCCATTGATTAATGACTAAGCCAGGGAACGTTTAGTAACAGCACTCAGGACCTGTCATTTGCAAATGAGAGAATTGGACAGTCGCTAAAGTAAGACAAGTACTGGGGTCTTTCCACCCTCCCTCCCTTCTACCCAGTGTTCTTTCTGCACAAACACAAGTACAAAGGCTCATCTATCAGGGAATTGTTTAAAAAAAAACAAAGGCCCACCTCCGAAACAGAACCAAGGGGCCCAAGTTCAGGTTCAATTGGTTGAATGAGTAGAGATTTGCCCTGAAGTCAGAACACACGAGAACCAGGGAGATCCGGGCAGACCCAGGGTCACTTGGAGCAGCTCCGGCCACGCAACCTGCCTTTCAGCCATCTTGTGTCTAGCATATTTCTACCTGATTGAAATTGGCTCTGAACATGCCCAAGGTTGAATGGGGATGGAGGACGTTATTGCATTTAATTATTTCTCCCGAATAAAAATGGATTCTAGCAGCAGCTTAGAGCTAAGGCAACAGAGGAGCAATTAGAGTTTTGGAGCTTGCTCTCAAACATTTGAATGTGCAATCATTGTAATAAGTACATTAAAATAAAATAAGTCAAAGGGTTGCATTTGCATAAATAACCCAAGGTGAGAGCGCTGGATTGGTGAATAAAGGGGGCGCAGCCAGTCCATCATCATGCAGAAATAATGACCCATCTGTCCTCCCGGTGGAAACGACCAGGGGTGAGGCCATTGCGGCCCAGTGTTAATCGGTACTTACCTAATCTGGATTTGCCACTCATTCTTCCTCCTGCTTTGGGTGGTGGGAACATTCTGGAAGTTTTACAGACTTTCACCCTCAACAAAAATACCCATGACCTAGGTAGTGTTGTCATCCTCGTTTTCCAGAGGAGAGCATCGAGGCAGGAGAGTCTGAGTCACTGCATTTCTGCAGCGTGACCCTGACTGAGCTGCAGTGTGACCCTGGCACTACCCGCTTCATTGAGTGTTGGAGAGGATTCGGGACATAAAGTATGGAAGACCCAGAGTCTGGTCAGAGGGAGTGTGGGTGCGGAGGATGCGAAGGTTAATGAGACACCCACAGAAGACTGAGCTCATCGCCTGGTGCTCACATGTGCTCCCATATGCCGTGGCTCCTCTTTCTGTATAATGTCGAGGAGGGCGTGACTGCTGGTCTCCAGTAAATTACTAGTGGACGGTGGCTGGCGCAGGGCAGGCACTCAGAAATGCATCTGAGGGGCTTCTTGGGATCCTCCCGGGACCTCTGGTCAGAAAGGAGGGGGCAGGGAAGGACATTTCTAGAAAGTCCGTGGAACTGGGTGTCGGAACCAGAAGGCCCAGTTTACCCAGATGTGATATTAGCTGCTGCGTGTGACCAGCAGCCACTCAGTGACCACATACAGACTCAGTTTCCCTTCTCGGTTCTGTGACCACGCGCAGATTCAGTCTCTTTGTTCCTTTCTTCCTACTCCATCGCCTCCCAGCTCCCAACCCCTTGAGCTCCTGAAACTCTGTGGCTCCTGTTTACTGTCTCCCCCACTCAGTGATCCCAGGCATCCAATGGACCCCCAGTCTGCTTAGCAATGGCTGTTGGGAGGTGACATGTTATCCCACACCCAGATACGTGGTCATGGATGGGATGGGAGCCAGAGCTTGGGGTCCAAAGCCAGCTTCAGTGCTTAAGGGGACAGGGTGAAGGGGGGCAAAAGCACCCTATAACTTCCTGGGAAAAAGGCTGTGGAACTGGCCGCACAGAGCATGGGGCCCCATGCGTCTGCTTGAATCTCAGTTTCACCACCAGCAAGCTCTGGACTCTGGACAAGCCACTTGTTAACTGATGCTTAGTTCCCTACCTGTAAAGTAAGACTCAAACACTCATATCCTACATACAGAGAGGCTGTGAGACATCTTAGCATTGGTTCTCCTTCTTCCAGCCATCAACAAATTAGAGAAATATGAGCTTAATGCTTGGGGTGGGGCCGTGGCAAGAAGGGAGCAGCCTTCGGACCATCGCTGGCCCACATGGAGACATGGGAGACAGAGACCTCTAAACCCAGCCCAGGGAAGGGGCCTTCCCAACCACACTCCTGGAGAGCTGGGGCCTTCAAGGGCCACGCAGGCCTAATTTAGACTCTCAGTCCACACCTCTGCTGTCAGTAGCAAGAAAGCAGAACAGACGTGGCTGTGTCTCAATAAAACTTTATTAACCAAATTTGCAGATGCTGGACTGAATTTGGTCATGAGCCCGGGGGTCTGGGCTGAGTGTCAGCTGCCCTGTCCTGTTGGCCTCTCCTGGACACCAGGGCTGCCGCCACTGACCTGTCACCCACTCTCTTCCTTGGGAACTGTTCCTAAGCCTATTTAGGAAAACTAACAGAGTCTCCCCTCAGAGTTGCTACTCATCACCAGTGTGTTTCTATAGCAATAGGGGGAGAGTTATGAAGCCAATTAGCTTTCTCTATGGCTTTAAAGGTCGTCCGGGGTCCAGCTGTGGGACAGTGGGTTCTCTTTCAGGTTAAGACCTTCATCAGGGCTCTAAGCAGAAACATATTTTGGGAATGATGCAGTGTGTTTGCTGAATGGCACATTGATCTGAGCTCAGAAGGGCCAGGACCACATCCTACCCATGTGGAGCTGAATTTGGGGTACCACCTTCCTGGGAAGCCCCATGCCATATGTTGTTTGTAGAAGGACTCATGGCCATTCTTTTATCCCCTGGGTGACTTAATCAGTTCTGCCCCATCAATAGCTGAGGCTCAAGCCCAGAGCATCATCCCCCCAGGAGTCACTGCGAAGATGCTCCTGCAGAGGGTGCATTGCCCTCCAGAAGAACCAGTGACGTCTCTCCCTCCGAATTAACTGTGGCTCAGTCTGATTTCTCTTATGGGCATGGATCTGTGAGCCTGTCCTAAAGGCAGTGGCATGCACATAATATCCCAGCAATAATTTCTCCCTGTATAACTTTATTATGACATTTCCAGCCCTTAAATAAACCATCACAGCACTCTGCTGGAATTTAAACGGGAAACTGGAACAGAATGTCCCTAACCCAATGGCAGAGACATCAAGAAAACTTAACTTGAAAGGGAGGTGTGATTAATAACAAGCTTTGAGAACCAAAACCAGGGCCCTTTGGAGCTCGCAAAAGCTTTCATTTCTATTATCGTTGGAATATCTCATATTTCCAGTTGGGAAAACTTAGGCCCAGAGAGCGAGAGAGAAGCCTTACCTGGGGTCAAGCCTATGGCAAAGGTAGGGGCGAGACCGAGGCCCAGATTGCCAAGCCTGCACTCCCCCCCCACTTGTTCCAGGGTCAGCCCACTTGGCGTGAGCGCCCAGTGACGTTTCTCTTCTGTTCCTCTCCCTTCTTCTCCAGGACGGCTACTTCTCCCACCGGCCAAAAGAGAAAGTGCGAACAGACAGCAACAACGAGAACTCAGTCCCCAAAGACTTCGAGAATGTGGACAACAGCAACTTCGCACCCAGGACTCAAAAGCAGAAGCACCAGCCTGAGCAGGCAAAGAAGCCCCCGAGCAGACAGAAGGAGCTGTTGAAAGGGAAGCTGGAGCACGAGGAGAAGGGGAAGGGACGTTCCTTCCCGGGGAAAGGCACCAACGAGGTGCTCCCTCCCGGGGACAGAGCTGCAGCCAACAGCAGCCGGGGCAAGGATGCCCCCAGACAGCCCCACGCCAGGAAGGGTGGGGGCGGCTCCCCTGAGATCAAGTATGACCAGCCCCCCAAGTGTGACATCTCTGGCAAGGAGGCCATCTCTGCCCTGTCTCGCGCCAAGTCCAAGCACTGCCGCCAGGAGATCGGGGAGACCTACTGCCGCCACAAGCTGGGGCTGCTGATGCCGGAGAGGGTGACGCGGTTCTGCCCGCTGGAAGGTAAGAGCCAGGCCCGAGGCCAGAGCGCCTCCTCCCATCTCCCCCTCCCAGTCCCGCACACGCTCAGGCCTCCTGTGAACCACCACCCTATCTTTCTCAATCGGGACGTGGTACCTGATTTGGTTTGGCGCTCCCTGAAGTCTGAAATCCTGTATAAAAACAGGTTTACAGAATGAAATTACCTTTTGTGACAGTTTCAGCCAGTGCCGTGGTGGCACACGATAGAGTCCCGCGAAAGCAGGGCTGACATGGGCGCGCTGGGAGGGCTAGGGTCGTGCCCAAGTGGTTTGTTTCCTCCCTCAGCAGAATATCAGGATTAGAACTGATGTGAATATTATTGTAACTCAGCATGATTTCAAAGGGTCTAACTGGTTGCATTGACTTTAGAGGCTCTGAAAAATAACCTTCCATTTCCTTCCATCGAAAGTTCTGTACTTTATTTTCTTCCTCCATCCTTCCTTCCTTCCTATTTCCTTTCTTTCTCACTCCCTTATTTTCTTCCTCCCCTGCCTCTTTCTCACACTCCTCTCCTGTGCTGGACACTCTTCCATGAATGGACAATGGTGATTGGGCAGCTACCTGGCTGTGATGCTGTCAGAGATCAGAGGTCAGAGGTGCTGACCCTCTGCAGTGTGGAGTCAGAAGGTCAGAGAAGCCAGGAAACCAAAGGCAGCAGTGTGGGGAGGTACCTTGACCCTGGAGATTGTGAAGGCAGGCATGGAAGACTGCCTGGTGGTGGTGTCCTTGAAGGAGCAGGTCCTGTCTTGATGCAGAAGGGAGGTGTGTGATGACCATGACTCCCGAGGAAAAGTAGATTATAAAGACCCCTAGAGAAATCTTGATTCTATTTGCTCGCTGGACTGATATGAATTCTAGGCCCATAGAGAGGAAAAGAATTATCCAAAGTCACCCAATGAAGAACTTGAGGCAAATTCAGTGGGGACACTTCAACGTTTTACTCAAGTCCCTCTGAAGTTTTCAAGTTTTTAGTAGCAAATATGGCTCTCGACCATGCTTACTTTTAATTAGAAAGATTTATAAACAAAAGCTGCATGTGTTTTTTGCATCTTAACCTTTATGTAAGCTGTCCCAGGGGCGGGGGTGGGGGGTAGGGTTCCATGTATATTCATTCTGGGACCTGCAGAATGTAGGTATAAGTGGAGGGAGGTGTTTCCAAAGTCTCCAGTGAGCGAGGGCTCAGCCCACCTGAGAAGTGTTCAAGGCTGTGTTAAGCGTCCTTCTGGGAAAATATCAGCTTCTCACTGTGTAACAAGGGTTGACACACATTTTCTATACAAGGCCAGAGAGCAAATATTTGCAGTTTTGCGGGTCATGCAGTCCCTGTCACCACTACTCAGCTCTCCCGTTGTTGCAGGAAAGCAGCCCGAGATGATGCTTACACAAACACACGTGGCTATGTGCCAGTAAAACGCAGTGGACAAAGACTGGAGATGGGCCGGATGTGGCCCGCAGGCCGCTGTCTGCTTACCCTCAGAACCAGCCCTTCAGCTGGTGTTACAGCACTGTGTGCGCCTGTGTCACCCACCTAGGGAGGAAGGTGTGTTATCAATCCATTTGTGAAGGAGAACACGCAGCTCAACGAGGCTTAGTCTTGGCCTCAGGGTTCTAGGATGGCAGAGCTGGGCCTGCAGAGCCCACATAAGCCTCTCTCTTTTCAGGAGGCAAAAGGTTTTGCTTTGTCTCAAATTGTCAGACCTCTGGGGTGTCCTGCAGCCAGTAAGCAGCGTCTCTCCATCTTCAGAATCTTTGCAAGCAGAAGGGAGAACATCCATGGGAAAACAAGGGGGGGGGATGTTGCCGTGGAACCAGGAGCCCCCTCGTCTCCCCCTTGTTCCTTGAGACAAGTATGGTGACACGCTGTGAGGTTGCTGGGGGTTTCCTGTGCCTTTGCTGCATAGGTCAAGGTAGCCCCCCTCCCAGGACCTGTGAGCTGGTTAATAAGATTGGCATTTAAGTGCCATTGCATGCCCAGCCCTGGCAATGTTTTAATTTGCTGCACCACAGCCTCCCCCTGTTGCAATAAATTTACTGTGAATAGACTAATTGCAAAATAACCCTAATTGGGTAGTTATCAATGAACAACTTCCCATGGAACAAAACGGCTTACAATTAATAGCATTTAAACCATAAACTATTCTTCTGCAGAAAGCTAAGATGTAATTACACCCCATACGGAGATTGTGTTCCCTTTCTGGAAACCATGACACCCGGATTTCCCTCCGCTCAGGAGGAATCTGAGCTCCAGCCCAGTGGCCCCTTTATTTCCTGCTAAATGAGGAGATGGAGGTGGGAGGGGAGGGAAATTCAATTCCCGTGAAATGTGCATGTGCACCGCGCGCAGATGTACGCGGAGCTCCGTGTCACCCCAACTTCAGCGGAAGTTGCATCTAATGAAGGAAACAATTCCTCATGATGTGACGTCTGAAACGTTCTGAGGAAAGGCAGTAGAAGTCAAAGGGTGACTTGTGCAAAGGACTCCTGCTTCTCCCGCCCCCACCCTTCTGTCCCCTGGACCCAGCACCACTGGGGAATGGGGAGGAGGAAAAGTCTAGAAGCCCAGGAGCCCTATGCTTCCTGTGCAGCTGGTCCTTCCTTGGCGACCTGTTGACTCTGGCTGGAGTGGTGACATGATTCACAAGGCAAGGGGGGATGTGCAGACAGCCCCGTGGCAACCCCAGGAGTGGGGCGGAGCTACCCTCCCTCTTCAGCCCCCACCCCAGGCTAGCTTCAGAGAGGCTTATTTCTAATTCCATTCCCCCCAAAGTCCCTGTGCTCACTGCAGCCACCAGGCTGCCCCCCACCCCACCCAAGTGACCCTACCCCCCACCCCCACCATCCAGGGGATGGTTTCTTTCCAGTCAGCTGACCGGCCGTGGGGTGGTGAGCTTCTGCACACGGCAGGGGAGACCCGCTCAAGTATCAGGGTGAGGATGGAGAAGGGAGTTTCTGATAAAAGGCAACTGTCCATCTTTACCCATCGGCTTTTGTAGGAACCAGAGACTCCAGACAAATGGTTTGTGGGTGGAGGGTGTTGGGGAGGTGGCCCAGTGAGAGACGGACAGGTGGCAGCGCCCCCTACAGCAGAGCTGTCTCCTGTGCCGCCCACTGCGGGCAGCGGGTGACTGACTGTACAGTACCAGGGCCAGTGTCCAGAAAGCCTGGTTGGAAACCTGATGTGGAGGGAAAAAGAGATGTGGATGTCAGCTCCACCACTCTGAGTGCCTCAGTTTCCCCATCTGTCAGCCAGAGGCACTGCTGTCTCCCAGATCCTTCGCTGTGTCACTCAAGATGGGAAATGAGGGACAAGCTATGGAACATTAAAACCACCACAGTGATGGGGTGAGGGCTGACCCCATGCTGGACCTCGCACAGCTTGGCCAAGCGGGTGAGGCTGACTTGTTTTCTACAAGGCCAGTCAGGATGACCCAGTCAGGTCCTTTTTTGTCGACTGCTGAGGAAGCCACGAAGCCCAGTAAAAAGGTTTGTAGAAGAGTTCACTGGGGTGGGAACAAATTAATCCCTGAGGTCTTCCTTGGGCTCACTTAGGTGGTGAAGGAGACTGACCATGGAGAGTCCAGAAAACATCAGCAGACCCCACTCACTGGACACCCACTGGGTGCCAGACAGCGTTCAGGCCAGTGCTGTGCAGACTCTCTGCTGAGGGCCAGACAGCAGATCCGAGGCTGTGCAGGCCGTGTGGGCGGTCACAGCAGCTTAGCTGGGGAAAGCAACCACAGACAAAACAGAAACAAATGAGCAGCGTGGCCGTGTTCCTGTGAAGCTGTAAATATGGTCACTGGGATGTGAGTTTCACAGAACGTTCATGTGTCATCAAGCCTTTTTCTCTTGTTTTTCAACCGTTTAAAACTGTGAAGGCCACTCTTAGCTTCTAGGCTGTACCAGAATAGGCAGCTGAGCACTGGAGTTTGCTAAAACTGTGTTCTAGGGCCTGAGGATTTAGCAGGAGGATGCCTTGTCCCTGCAGGACCTCCCCCTGCATGGCTAGGGCCCTGTGTCCGAGTGTCCCTAGCAGAGACCAGAGGTCACAGTGAAGCAGCAGCCCCTCCAGTCCGCTGTCTGGTATAATGACATGTGTGAAGACAAATAGGGGAGGGCATTGTAGGTAGGTGGCCTCAGAGGCCTTGCTGAGGAACATGTGATGGCAGTGTCACAGGGCAGAGGAAATAGTCCTGGCATGAGGCTGGAAGGTTCTAGAAGCAGCCAGGATGTTAGTGTGGCTGAAGCAGAGGGAGCAGGAGGCAAGCAGGAGAAGGCTGAGATCCAGGACACACAGGCCACGGCAAGGAATCTGGATGTTGTTTCGGTGAGCAAATGGAGGAATTGAACAGAGCTTGAACCTGATCTCTATTTTTACATTATTCTACTTTTTTATTTGAAGCTATGTCATGTGGTGTTTTGTGATGTGATGAGATACTATATATTATCGTGGTCAGAACATTTTCGGTGCGCTCGGACCCTCTTAACAGATTTTTAAGTGCACAATAATGCCACATACCTTGGGCACAGCATTGTACAGCAGCTCCTCAGTTCGCCATCTCCCCTGGCAACTTCCATTCTAGTCTGTTTCTATGTGTTTGACTCTTTCAGATGCCTCATATTGATGGAATCAGGCAGTGTTTGCCCTTGTGAGACTGGTTTATTACACTTAGCATATGTCCTCAAGGTTCATCCAGGTTGGTGTACATGGCAGGTTGCACTCCTTTTTTAGGGCTGAGTAATATTCCACTGTCTGCATACTTTTTTTTTAAGTTACATTTTTTTTTTAAGATTTATTTATTCATATAAGCACTGGGTACAGTCAGAAGCGCAGGAAGTTGAGAGAATTCACCAGAGCGGGGAACAGAACAGGCAGAAGGACTGAAGTACACTGCTGAGGGGAGCAGCAGGCAGCAGGAGAGGTCTGCGCGCCATGTGGGGCCCTTGCCAGTGGCTGGGGATCGAACCAGTGCTGCAGAGGC